ATATGGATATTTTAGATCAACAAAGCCTGAGGGTTGACTCATATATACGTCCTCATATGGAGAAAGGCATTGTTCACATCAAGTTGATGGATTGGCCAATTTCGATTAAGAGCATTGGTGATAACAATGCGAATGGTAGTGGGTTTGATTACCGGGCTGAAAGTTTATGTGTAATCTATGCCAGGAGATTGATGGTAGCCTTTAGCTACTAAACAAGCTTTATAGCGCTCAAGAGTCCCATCGGATTTTCTTTTAGTTCGAAAAACCCACTTACAACCCGCAATATTAGCATTAGGAGGAGGAGAAACCAGATTCCAGGTTTGATTACGTTGAAGAGCATTAAACTCTTCAAGCATAGCTTGACGCCAGTAAGGAAATTTATTGGCCTGAATAAAAGAGGCGGGGTCAGGTTCCGGAGGACAAGTAAGAGAGGATGTATAGGTAACATAATCATTTAAACGGTTAGGCTTACGAGTTGTTGTACGAGTGGTCATGTGATGTCTTGGTGGTGGAGGTGGTCTAGGCGGGGAACTAGATGATGGTGGAGGTTGTCTAGGCGGGGAATTAGATGGTGGTGGAGAAGAAAGCCTTGTTGAAGAAAGAGTTTGTGTCGTAGGATTGGAAAAAAGTAAAAAAGGAGGAGGAATAGACACACGTGATGACGAAGTTGGAGAGGACGTAGAAGTTTGAGACGTAGCATAAAGAAAATTAGTTTCAAGAAACCTTACATCTCGAGAGATGTAAAGTTGGGAACTTTTGGGATCAAAGCAACGATATCCCTTGTGTTGGGAAGAGTAGCCTAAAAAGACACAAGGAATTCATTTTGGGGATAATTTGTCAGCACGAGTAGACCCAAGAAATGTGAAGCAAGTGCACCCAAATACTCGAAGGTGAGAGAGGGAGAGAGGATTGGAAAAAAGAACCTCATGAGGAGATTTATTAGTAAGAACTTGAGTAGGAAGGAGATTGATTAGATAGGTGGCAGTGGAAAACGCTTCAACCCAAAAGGATTTGGGAAGAGAAGCATGAAGAAGAAGAGTAAGCCTGGTTTCAGTGATATGACGAATTTTTCTTTCAGAAACTCCATTTTGTTGAGGAGTATGGAGACAAGGGATGCGATAAGAAATACCATGATTACGAAGATAATTAGTAAAACCACCTTTCACAATTTCGGAAGCACCATCACATTGAAAATATTTGATACTAGTAGAAAATAAATTTTCAGTAAATGACTTAAAATTTTGGAAAGCATGAAAGGCATCAGATTTATTAGTAAGTGGATAAATCCATGTAAAATGACTAGAGCCATCGATAAAAATAATAAAGTACCGGTAACCTGAGAGAGAGAGACAAGGACTTGGACCCCAAATATCACAATGAATTAAATGTAGCGGCACTTTAGAAACACGAGAAGATGGAGTAAAAGGAATTCGAGTACTTTTGCATTGCAAACAGGAACTACAAGAATTTATTTTGGAAGATTTAAATGACAAAGATCGAGCTAAAGATGAAAGAGTTGAGTGACACGGATGTCCGAGACGGTGATGCCAAAGATCAGGAGGAACAACACGAGTAGCCAGAGATACAAGATTGTGGAATGTCTTAGGAATCTTCATAGGATAGAGGTAATTGTGGATGTTACCCACGAGAAGCGGAGTCTTGGTGACTAGATCTTTCACAACATAACCAAAAGGAGAAAATTCCATTAAACATGAATTATCAGTGACAAACTTTTCAACAGATAAAAGGTTTGTATTAAGCTGGGGAACAATGTAAACATTACGTAAATAAAGAGGTTTTGGGTGCTTGGTGAGTACAGTGTGAGCAATAGAAGTAATAGGAAGAATAGTACCATTGCGGACAACCACTTGCTGATTACCATGATATGGAGTGGTAGAATCCACTAAAAGAGGATTAGGTGCCATATGAGCCTGAGCGCCAGAATCAGGAAGCCATTCATGGATGTCACTAGATGTAAAGGATGAAAAGTCTTAAGGCTAGGGTTCTTGGACAGTGGAGGTGTGAAAAGCAGTGGGCATGTTTTTGTGGGAGGAAAAGAACGATGAGTTTGATTATTGTGAGATTCAGCGAAACGGAAATGACAAACAACAGCAGAATAATTGAATTTTTTGCAGATTTGGCATTGGGTAAGATTGGGTTGTTGGGTAAAGTTGGGGTAAGGGCTAAAGGATGAGGTATAAGGCTTATAGGGAGTAGAAGGATGGGTGGGGAATTGGGCTTGGTTTGGGCGATTTTGGATAGTGTTGAAGGGACGGTGTGGACCATATGAATTGGGGTTGGAATAAAATGAGTGCGGAGTTGAGTTATTAGGAAAGTAAGGAGAGAGCTGACCACGACCACAGCCTGAATTAGGTTGTGACTGTTTACCCCGAGACCAAGAACTATTGACTGGAAAGTTCACAGTAGTATGGAGTGCAGCTTCTGGTGAAGGCAAAAATGATTGCAAACGTTGCTCATGGCGAAGCAGTTTTGCTCGAAGATCTATGAATGAGGGAGGAGGGTTGAGATTCTCTATAGTGATGATGAAGGAAGTATATTCAGATGCGAGACCACTAAGAGCGAGAATAGCAAGATCATGATCAGGGATAGTATTCCCAATAGCAGAAAGCTCTTCCGCCATAGTTGATAATGAAGTGAGAAAATCGTTGACTGTGAGAGAACCTTTCTTAAAATTGTGAATTTTTTGGTGTAGTTGCGATCTACGCACTGTAGATTGTTGAAGAAAATGATAGTCGAATTTGATCCAAAGGTCACGAGCAGTAGGACAACCCAATGCCACCGATGCCATTGAAGACGACAACGAGGCAGTGAGACAACATTTGACAAGGCGATCAAGTTTTTGCCATTGAAGAAATTCTTTTGGAATAGTAGAATCATGTGAAGAGTCTTTTGGTGGTAAAATTAAACCATCGCTATAACCATTGAGATCAGTGGTAATTAGAATTCCTTCAACTTGATCTCTCCAAATTAGATAGTTGGAGTTATCAAGAGATACAGTGAAAATTTGTGATATTGGAGAGAGGAAATGATTGAGTAGTAGTGAGTGATTGTGAAATAGTCATTTTAAAACAATGGTGATTAGGGTAAAAGAAAAGGAATAAAAAAGTAAAATAAAATAACGTGTAGTAGTATGTGAAATAGTGTGTGCAATATTGATTTTTTCGAGGTAATCAGTGGTGTGATAATGTGAAGAAAAAAAAATTTTAGTGCAGGATCGAGTTTACTCTCGATACCATGATGAGAAATAAATTCAAGAAAGAAGATGAAATCATAAATTATATTGTGTGCAACAGTACATTACATTACCTCTATTTATAGACATACATCATCATTAGTTAAAATCTAGATATTTTCAAATCTGAAATAATCTAAACAAATAGAATCTAAATAATCCTAACTAATGAGATCTTTGAGTAATCTTATCATTTTCAATTACCTAAGTGTTTGTACCTTTTTACCAAACAAATAGTTCGAATTGAGTTTTGAAAATTTAAACTTAATGTGAACTATTTTTTGGGGGCAAAAGTAGTAATAAAATATTAACCAGTGAAGAAATATATATTTTTTTAATAAAAAAAGAAAAAAGAAGGCGTGCTTAATTCTTCTTCTTCTACATCTTCTCAGTCTCCCTCTTTTTTATTAGTCTCTTCGTCCCAAAAATAATTTTCACATTAAATTTTATAATAATTTATACTAAAATTATTACAAATTTCAAAATTCAGTATGTACTATATTTTTTGGAACAGAGGTTGCATTATTATTTTTTCTGTGGCCTTAAACAGTTTTTACAATTTTCCTATGGGTAGAAAATCTCATTTCTACTATCTAGGAAGAATATAACTGGTATGTTGAGAAGGCTAACTTATCGAAATAATTAAAATGTAGTTTCCCGAAGATTATGAATTTTGAAAAAATTAGACATCTTGAACAGTGAATTATCTCTCAAGATTGTTGCTAAGCTAATTCTCAAACTTTGATTCGTTCTTAAAATTATTGTTACCATTAAATTTTGATGGACGAAAAACTTGGGCTTTTTCCCAAAAAAAATTAATTAAAATAAACGTGGACAAATTTAAATTTTTTAGAATATTTGTGGACAAAACTATATTCTTCGGATTTCACAAATCCGAGTTCTGATTAAAATTACATATTCGGATTTTGCAAATCCGAGTTTTTATTTAATAATAAAATAATAATTACATAAATTTTGTTGAATAATAGGTTTTTAAAAATTCTTAAATGAACAGTAAAGGTCGGATTTGCAGAATCCGACTTTAGTTAAAAATTAACAAATCGCGGCGCGAAATTTTTGAATCGAAAAACCGGAAGTCTGTAATCCGGTTTTATGGATTCGGATTTTGGAAATCCGGCTGCCTTTAATTTTTGTTGGTGGAAGTAGGCATATGCCTTAAATTGGAGGACCAAAAAATTAATAAAATAATCCTGAATTGACTATATCCGGATTCATGAAATCCGAATCTAACATAATTCGGATTTTGAAAATTCGAGTTACTTACGGACTCGGATTTCGTAAATCGGAGTTTAACGTGCTATAAAAGAAAAAAAATTTCAGGCTGTTCTCATTCGAGAACTGAGTTGGATTTTCTATTTTTGCAGCTCAAACAAGGGCGAATTGGAGTTTTTGATGCATTCTTGCCTCTAGATACGTGGAAATCGTTATTTGAAAGAGGTTAGATTGCAAAACCATGTTATTTAGTTTAGTTTTGTGTTATTTTGATTGTTAGAATGATGTATGATAGATTAGGGTTTATGTTGGTTGGTTGTTTGGATATTTTAGGTGTTGATTTTGAGGTTAGAGATGAGAAATCATAGTTGTTCATGAGATATCGAAGTTGATTTATAAGTATTTTAGTATTTTATAGGTTTTTTGAATTATGAATGGAGTATGTATGGTGTATTTGTTGATTTTGTTACTAAGAAATGATTTAGTTATTGATGTTTTTTTTTAACAGTTATCAATGGCACGTAATGTATCATACATGCTTAATTTGTATCATACAAGTAAGTATGTGATAGAGAACGGTAGCATCAACACTTTTTCGAATATGCCGGATGATGGTTTGTTTGTCGAAGAAAGGTTGTCATATGAGGGATTGATTAGTAAGATTTGTATGACACTTGGTTGGGATCCAGCACACGTGAAACTCCACCTTTCTTTGATTTTCGATAGTCCCGGTAGTAGCCGTGCAGTGAAGATCAAAAATGATTCGCATGTAGAGTTCATGAACCGTGTAGATCCAATGTCATGTTTGGATTTATACATAGATTTGGAAGATATCACTCAAGAAGAAAGAGAAGCGAGTTTGGAAAACGTGTCATTTGGTGGTTTTCCAAGGGGGGAACGTGCTAGTACTTCTCGAAACCGTGATGAAGAGGAGACACCTTTATTTGCACAAAATGACTACCGGGAAGAGTCGGATTCCGACTACATAGCTCCAAGTGAAAGCGAAGAAGACTGTGATGTCTCCGGAGAGAGTGATTTTGAAGAAAGTGATGATGAAAGGTTGGAAAATGAGGAAAGAGATTGTAATCTATTGGCCCGACGCCATATATATAGTAAGATGGGGAACTGGGATGCCTCATGTATAGACAAGGATGAGTTTGCTCTTAAGATGTGGGATGAGACGCCCGAAGGAATGGACATTGGTGTTTGTTTCAAATCTCAATCAGAAGCAAAGCATGCTGTGAAATTATGGAACATCCATCATAAAAGGGAATATACGATCGCCGCGAGTAGTCCAAGGACGTGGGCTGTGCGGTGCAGAACATTTAATGTGAAAAGTGAGGAGGTGAACCACCATGTGAGTGGAAGATGCGTGTGTCATTGAAAGCTCACGGCCTTCATGAAATTGTGAGATGGCATGATGCACATAATTGCATGACTCCTGTGAATGATAATGACAATCGGTGTGTGGACGCGTCTTTGATTGCTAGACTCATCAGGAGAAAGGTTGAGGACAACGTAGATTATACGGTAGTCTCGGCACAGAAAGATGTGAAGAACTTATTGAAAGTAGATGTACCATACAAAAGGGCGTGGCACAGGAGGAGGAAAGCCATAGAAGCGGTCTATGGTGATTGGACCTCGAATTTCGAAGAACTTCCACGGTAAATATCAACTTTTATCCGTGTATTGAAATATTTTTAGTATTTTTATTTTTACATGTATTGAAAAATTTTAACAATGACTTGTTGTTGTTTAGGTATATCGATGCGCTTAAGTTTACTAATCCTAAGACTGTAGTAGAGTGGGAATGGAAGGAGGGACAAGAAGGTTGGAACAGTGGAAATAGGACATTTAAATACGTCTTCTGGTCATTTGCACCGGTGGCTGAGACGTTTTTTGAATATCCATCGGTCATTTGTATCGATGGAACCTTTTTGCGTGGTGGGTACAAGGGTAAATTGCTTGTTGCGGTGGTCTATACTGCAAACAAGCACATTTTACCGGTTGCATTTGCGATTGTGGATGAGGAGACAGTAGAGAGTTGGACATTTTTTATGAGGAATTTGAGGTTGTGGGTTGTGTATGATAGAATCGTAAGTGTGATATCCGACCGGAATGCAGGGTTGTTGAGCGCAATGTCACAGATGGAAGAATGGCGTGATTTAGGTGATGGTGGGCACTTTCTTTGCCTCTGCCGCGTTCGCAGCAATCTTGTGTCGCGTTATAATAGCAAAAAGGTGAAGCGGTTATGTTGGAAGATGGGCACAACGCTTTCAAGAGTGAAATACAACCATATGAGGGCAGAGCTTATTGAATTCAAACCTGCTGCATGGGAGTATCTTCGAGGGATTGGAGGGAGTAACTGGGCTCGATCGAAAGCCGGTCTTCGCCGTTGGGGCATAGCGACAACCAACATTTCTGAGAGTTACAACAATGCGTTGAAAGGGATCCGTTTTTTACCAATTAGAGCCTTGATCGATGCAACCTTTCGCAAAACTGTTAAATTCTATAGAGAAGAACAATTGTCTGCGAGAAATTGCATGACACCGATCCCTCCTGAGTTATGGAAAAAATACGAGAAAATGAATGACAAAGAAGCCAGTTTTGAAGCCACCCCTTTCGATGGTGATGATGCTATGTGGCGTGTTGTTACTGCCACACGCCTAAGTGGCATGGATGGGTCTCTGCATACGGTGAACTACGATGAACATAGGTGTTCGTGCAGGAAGTGGCAAGAGTACCGGATGCCTTGTACGCACGTACTCCAAGTTTGTCGGAGAAAAGGGGATCGGCCTATTGATCTATACCATAGTGTGTGGCGCCTTCCAACGTGGCGCAGACAATTTGAGTACACGGGCTTTGTTCTGGTTCCCGATGAGGAACAATGGCCGATGGTCAATTGGAACATCATTCCGAATTATGAGCTTCTTGTGTTGCATGCGGGACCGAGACGAAGCAAAAAAGGAGACATAGAATGCAAATGGATTACAGGGATACCGGAGCCGGGGGAAATGTTGGAGATGTGGACAACTAGGTCATGATGCCAATTCTTTTCCGTTCTCGCACCCAGGAGTAGATAGAAGACCTGTGAATGACAGCTGGAATTGAGAGTCATTTAGTGTTCTTGCAAGTTATTTAGTGTTTGATGAATTTATGTGAACATTGATAAATTCATATTGTAATGTGAACATTGAATTGTTCGGATTGTAAAGTGTGACGAAATATGTACTATTTTTTCATAACAAGTTTTTGGATTGTGCAAAATACTCATCATTTTAAGGTTTTCTAAAGGATTCGGATTTCCTAAATCCGAGCTCAGACTTTTTTTTTGAATTTGCAAAAGACTCGGATTTCTGAAATCCGAATTGGTGAAACCCATCCGAGAGTTGCAATTTGAGGAGAAACAGGGAAGACTCGGATTTCCGAAATCCGAGCTCAGAGTTTTTTTTGAATTTGCAAAGTACTCGGATTTCAAAGATCCGAATGGGTGAAAAGCATCCGAGAGTTGCAATTTGAGGAGAAACAGGGGAGACTCGGATTTTCAAAATCCGAGCTCAGAGTTTCTTTTTTGAATTTGCAAAGTACTCGGATTTCAAAAATCCGAATGGGTGAAAAGCATCCGAGAGTTGCAATTTGACGAGAAACAGGGGTGACTCAGATTTCCTAAATCCGAGCTCAGAATATTTTTGAATTTGCAAAGGAGTCGGATTTCAGAAATCCGAATTTGTGAAACCATCCGAGAGTTGAATTTTGAGGGAAACAGTGAAGACTCGGATTTAGCAAATCCGAGTTTGACGGGACTATATATAGCCGGTCAACTCTTCCCCTCCCATTTTTCCCCCAAATCCAGATTTAAAAAACCCTAAAAATTCCCTCCAAATCCACTCAATTCCGGCGACTCCCTCCACTCAATCCGGCGACTCCCTCCACTCAATTCGGCGACCCTCCACTCCTCCCGGCGACTCCAATTCCAGATTCCGGCGACCCTCCACTCCCTCTACTCAATCCGGTGACCCTCCATCCTCCACTCAATCCGGCGACTCCCTCCGACTCTCTCCACCTCCGGCGACTTCCTCCACTCCTCCCGACTTCCTCCACTCCTCACGGTAAGTTGCAATTTTTTGTTTCTCTCTTTAATTTTTTTTGTCAAATATTTTTTTTTCTTTGTGAAATCCGAGTCCTTTTTTTTTTCTAATGTGTATTGTTGTGGTTTAGTTTATTTTGAATTGTGTTGTCTTCATTAGTGAATTGTATTGGTTTATGTTGTATTGATTAGTGAATTGTGATGGTTTGTGTTGTATTGATTAGTGAATTGTGTTGGTTTGTGTTGATATAGTGTATATGGTTTGGTTGAATTTGGATTTTGGCCGAGTCTATATGGTTTGGTTGAATTGTTTTTTTGGCCGAGTGTATATGGTTTGGTTGAATTATTTTTTCGGCCGAGTGTATATGGTTTGGTTGAATTTGGATAGAAGCCGAGTGTATATGGTTTGGCCGAGTATATATGTTAGTGTATATGTTTTTTTGGCCGAGCGTATATGGTTTGGTTGAATTTGGATTTTGGCCGAGTGTATATGGTTTGGCCGAGTATATATGTTAGTGTATATGTTTTTTTGGCCGAGTGTGTATGGTTTGGTTGAATTTGGATTTTGGCCAAGTGTATATGGTTTGGTTGAATTGTTTTTTTGGCCGAGTGTATATGGTTTGGTTGAATTTGAATGGTTATTGCATTATATATTTTGCATATTGGGATTGAAATGGTATTGGTTACCTTGTGTAGGATTGAAATGGCGACGCCGGCGTCAGGCTCGCAATATGACTATCAACCTAAACATCTTCACCCAGGACCTATACAAGATAAAATGCTATATCGTCAAACAAAGTATAGGTCCCAAGCTGTCTATGAGAACAAGATACCGGACATTAAAATATTCCGCCTCAAGGACCGTAGGTACGACAGCGATTTTTGGGCGTTATACAAAAATACGGCACCGAAGGTTAAGGAAGTCATCAGGAGAGCCGGTTTTGAGGGGATCATGAAAGTAAGGTACAAAAGAGTTGATCTCGGCCTCATTACCGCGTTGGTGGAACGGTGGAGGCCAGAAACCCACACTTTCCATTTCAATTTCGGAGAGGCGACGGTGACGCTACAGGACGTCTAGGTCCTGTTTGGTATTCGGGTGGATGGTGACCCGGTGTACGGGACGACAGTTAGCCGGAATGCAGATGAATGGCGGGATCGATGTGAGGCTTATTTGGGATTCCGGCCGGCAACTGTAAATGGCCAATGTGTCAATGTTGGTATTTTCGAAGATGAGATGAGCCGTGCACTACCTGAAAATTCCACTGTCTATCGATTCGAGCAAAGGGCCAGGACACTTATACTGCATTTTATTAGCAGTTTCATGTTTCCGAACAAGACGCAGAACACTGTCAAAATACAGTTCTTGGCCCAGGTTGAGGATTTGGATCAGTGTAGTCGATACAGTTGGGGATCGGCACTGCTGGCTGGTTTGTACTCTGGACTGTGCGAGGCATCACAGTATACCATGCACGACGCCACTGGGTGTCTACATTTGCTACAGGTACGTATTAGTTTTCATTTTGTGTTTTTAATTATTTTTCGCTTTCGACGTTATAATTTGAAGTTTTAACATTATTATTGCAATTTACTAGGTATGGGCGTATGAGCGGATCGAGAGGATCGCGCCACAAAGAAAAGGAGTAGATTATTTGATTGATGAGACCGCTCCATTAGCTCAGCGGTACGTATTTTCAGTTCAAAATAACTCAACGTTTATTTCTATTTGTTTCTTATTCATTTATTTCACTAATTCAAATGTATCCCTTTGTTTATTAAGGTGGGAATGTAGGTACACCTACGGCGACGCCCCAAGGAGCAGCACTCCACCTTTTAGAGATCAATTAACAAGTCTGCGTGTTGAAGATGTAAGTACTTGTAATTTGGTATTTATATTTACTTTGAGATCTATTACCCCTTTCTTTTTGTTTCGGTTGTACCATCTAATAAAATTCTTTTCGTGCAGTTTTCGGTGGCAACCATATGCACAGGTCCTTCATAGACTCCCTGATTTCTGTACACAAGGCCAAGCCATTTGGACGACTAGGTGTTGGATGTTCTGTTGGGCTATTAGGGAACTCCACGAGTCGGGCAGAGTCGTAAGACAATTTGGATACATACAGGATGTTCCCAAGCGCCCCATGATTAAAGATAACGCAGCATTCCTTCTCGATCACGCCCACAGTATGTCTGGGTATCCTAGCAATAATTGGGTGGACCACCTTTCCGCAGTACGTCGTCATTGGAATAGGAGAGAAGAGTTCGTGCTACGAGATTTGGAGGAAAGAGATCCTGGTTCCGTATATGAGGGGTACTATGAATGGTTCATGGTGAACACTGTCAGACTGATATCCAATCCTGATAATTATGAACCTCGAGGATACGAGACTTCTTCGTGCCGCGTGAAATTATATGTGAGTTAATTCTAGATTTCTTTTATTATTTCTTATGTTTTCATTTTATTTTTTTTCATTTTTTATTTTTTTAGAACTTTACTCTCTTAATTAACGTCCCAATTTCTTTTCAGGGTGAAGTATTGAACAACATTCGCGTGAGTACCGAGAGGTTTAGAGAAAAACGAGAAGATGATAATCTCCTAGACGAAGAACTTGACAAGCATTTGGACGATATCATCAATCAAACACATGCTGCTTTAACCTTGGGCGCAAATGATGAGATGGAGGTGGAGGATACCCAAATCCTGGTTGATGAAGATACATCTTTGCCCTCACAACCTCCGCCGGGTAAAAAAGCGAAACCGTGGTCGAGAGATAACATTGGAGGAGGAAGAAAGAGGAAGGTCACAATCCCCCCTCGGACATCGCAACAACAAACTGAAGGTCAACGAAATGAGGATCAAGCACATTCTTCTCGAGGTTCGCGCATCCAGGTCGAGACTCATTTTGAAGAAGCAGGTGGACCCGAGACTCAGTTTGACCTTGGTGGACCCAAGACTCAGTTTGGTGGACAGTCGCAACCACAACCGGGAGTCAAATTTCTCACCATGGGGGAGTCCCAATCCCAACCCCAAATCGAGGCTCAGTTTGGTGGACAGTCGCAACCACAACAGAGTTCAATACTCACGTATCTTAAGAAGGGAGACATGATTCATCAGGGCCCAAACAAATACACTCTGGATGCGCACAATAAAGGAAAAGGGAAAAAATGAGACATTTGATGTATTTTGCACATTTAAAGTACTTTTTGTATTGATTTTTGTATGAAACTTGATTTGTTTTGTTGTCAATCGAATGCAGTTTATTGTTTTGTTGCCATTAAATTCCTGTTTTCCAATGTTTCATTGTTGTTGGTGCTGTAAACAGGTTTAGGACTGGTGAAAACCAGTCCAATTTTCTTTTTCAGTTCTGACAAAGACTCGGATTTGTGAAATCCGAACCCAGACTTTTTGTAAAGGATTCGGATTTCAGAAATCTGAGTCTGTAGCCAACTGAGAGTCACCATTTTTCAGAAAACAGAGGAGATTCGGATTTCGGTAATCTGGCTCTACATATATTCGGATTTCCGTTATCTGTTTTTTCCCAAATTTAATTTTTCAACACATTTTTTTTCTCTATCCGGAAATTAATATTTTATTCATAAAAACGGATTTATAAAATCTGGATTTAGATTAATTACACTAATTTTTATCATTAACTTAATATCAGATTTACGTAACATAAAGTCAAATTTTAATAATCCGAGTTTATTAGGGGTCGGATTTCCGAAATCCGAGTTTTGGCCCCATTTGGATTTCCTAAATCCGGGACATATAAATTTGTCCACAAAATTTTTAAAAGCTTTATTTTTGTCCAGGTTTTTTTCTTCGAATATATTTAAGGAAAAAATTCGCAGCGGTTTTGATTTTGAACTGAACGGGTGAATTTTCTAAAGGAGAAAAAAAGTTGTTAGTTTTCTAATTTTGCTTTGCAAACCGCAATGCTCACTTAAATTGCCGCGTTTTCAAAACGCGAAATCTTTTTTTTTAACAAAAAAATTCAAGCGTCTTTCTTCTTTTCCCCGGAACAATATTTTAAAAAATTAATTAATGTTTTTAGCATTTTTAAAATGCGAAATTAAGTGTTTTTGCATTTTCAAAGCGCGAGAGGTATAGAAATTTCCAGCTTTTAAATTCAAGAAACATTTTCTCCCACAAATTAGGGTTTGAGAAACCCAAAAGTCAAGCACCCAGAAGAAGGAGACAACTGGTGATCTTGGGGTTTTATATTTAATGGACAAAATGCACTTTTGGTTCCTTAACTTTGAGGGTAAGAAGTTCGAGTTATTATGTATTTTCAATCGGCAAAAGTGATACTTTAAAATATTTTTTCTATTAATTTTGGTCAAATTGACAGAATTTTTTTGGAGGCTGTATCCAGTATACCCGGGGGCACCGTGCCCCCCTCCTATTTTTTGCATTTCTAGTCCTTATTGTACTTTTTTTATCAATCTTTCTATATTTTGCAAATTTAGTCCCTGTCATTTTTTTTCTCTCTTCCAAAAAAAACATCTCTAATCTTTCAACGAGCATATCTCCCAGTCCGTGAAGAATTTGTGAACGAATTATGTATGAAATTTATAGTACTCGTCGAGATCTATCCAACAAAATCTATAGTGAATATTTTTTTCGGGCTTAAAAATGACTTAATTCTGATGGACAGAATAGGGGTGGATATCCAGTTTTACAAGATGGATAACCAACTTGTTCTAAATTGGTATCCACTGTGTTCAGGGTAATTATTCAATCAGTTTGAACTGGTTATCCATTTTGTTTCTACTGCTTATCCATTTGGTTATCCAACTTCTTAATTCAAAATAAGTTGGTTATCCATCTTCTTAAACTAGATATCCAATGTGTTCATATTGATTATCCGATGCGCTAATACTGGTTATCCAATGGATTTACATGCTTATCCAAATTATTTGTATTGGTTATCCACTGTGTTCATGATCATTATCCAACTTGTTTGTACTGGGTATCCATCCATTTGGTTTGTATGCATATCCAACTCTAATCTTTCAATGAGCATATCTCCCAATCTGTGAAGAATTTGTGAACGAATTACATATGAAATTTATAGTACTCGTCGAGATCTATCCAACGAAATCAACAGTGAACATTTTTTCGGGCTTAAAAGTGACTTAATTCTGATGGGGCAGATTAGAGGTGGTTATCCATCTTCTTAAACTGGATATCCAATGTGTTCATATTGATTATCCAATGTCAAAAATATGATTGGATAACAAGTACGAACAGAATGGATAATCAGTCCAAACCGATTGGATAATCAGCAGGAACACAGCGGATAACCATTTTTCAAAGAAAAACGAAAAACACGTTTCTTCATTTTTGCCCGTAAAATTTAAATGCATTTAAATTTAAAAAAAATATTCAACATTGATCTTATCGGATAGATCTCGTCGAGCACTATAAATTTCATATATAATTCGTGTTATAATTCTTTACGAATCAAAAGATACAAGGAACACAACAATATGAATGTAAAATAAGTTGATTATCCATCTTTTTAAACTGGTTATCCACTGTATTCATGTTGAATATACAACTTATTTGTGGTGGTTATCCAGTATTTTTTTTCCTTGCTCTTTTATGAAAATGATTGTCAAACTTTTTTGTATTGATTATGCAACGTATTGCACTGATTATCCAATTATTTTCTATTGATTATCCAAATTTTTTGCAATGCTTATCCAATCATTTTTTCTTTTTTTTTTTTTTTTGAAGAGTGAATGTCAAAAATATAATTGGACAACAAGTACAAACAGAATGGATAACCAGTCCAAACCGGTTAGATAATCAGCATGAACACAACGGATAATCATTTTTCAAAAAAAAACGGAAAACACATTTCTTCATTTCTGCCCATTAAATTTAAATGCATTTAAAGTTCAAGAAAAATATTCAACATTGATCTTATCGGATAGATCTCATCGAGCACTCTAAATTTCATATATAATTCGTGTTATAATTCTTTACGAATCAAAAGATACAAGGAACACAACAATATGAATGTAAAATAAGTTGGTTATCCATCTTTTTAAACTGGATATCCAATGTGTTCATATTGATTATCCAACTTATTTGTGGTGGTTATCCAGTATTTTTTTCCTTGCTCTTTTATAAAAACGATTGTCAAACTTTTTTGTACTAATTATCCAACGTGTTGCACTGATTATCCAATTATTTTCTATTGATTATCCAAATTGTTTGCAATGCTTATCCAATCATTTTTCTTTCTTTCTTTATTTTATTTTTTTTTTGAAGAGTGAATGTCAAAAATATAATTGGATAACAAGTACAAACAGAATGGATAACCAGTTCAAACTGATTGGATAATCAGCATGAGCACAATGGATAACCAATTTAGAATAAGTTGGTTATCCAAATTGTTTGAACTGGTTATCCACTGTGTTCATTCTGATTATCCAACTTGTTTGTACTGGATATCCAACTTAATTCTGCCCAAAGAAATTTGATCATTTTTAAGTTGGAAAAAAATATTGGATATGGATCTTGTTGAATAGATCTCAACGAGTACTATAATTTTCATGCATAACACGTTCTCTAAATCTTTACGGATTATGAGATATGGTCATTTAAAGATTAGAGATATTTTTTTAAAGGAGAGAGAAAAAAAATTACAGGGACTAAATTTACAAATCATAAAAAGATTGATGAAAAATACAATAAAGACTCTTCGTGCAAAAAATAGGAGGGGGGACACGGTGCCCCGGGTATACTGGATAAATTCTTTTTTTTGAACTTAACGGGAGATGCCTACTCTCTGTCAATTTCTAATTTTTATATTAATTTTCATTCTATTTGTGGAGCCCACAAAGTTTGACACCTGAAAAAAATATTTCTAAAGAAAATAAAAAACAGAGAAATCCTTCAAGTTCCGACAGGAAGGTTTTTCAATGGCAATTTGTTCCCGATTTCTTGGCTTCCATGTTTTGTGTCAAGGAAACAATTCCTCCTTTCTAACCCCAGATTTACCCGAGAAGGAAATGCCACCGGCGTTAGCTTTGCGTCAGCGGGTTCAGGCATTGACGAGATGACCACGGCGGTTTCGATAGTGATTCCGGTGTCGAGATGAACAGAGTACTTGAAGGAATACATATAGAATTGAATTGACGGATTGATAAGGAATCTAATTTAGTTGGGCAATTATAGGTTGGCAATCTTTAATTTTCCGACCAAAGGTTGCAAGACAAAAATGATTTAGATTTTTTTTCTCTAGAAGGAGAAAGCCGGTGCCGACGAAAGGATCAAGAATGAAAAATCGGGGGAAAAGATGAAAAATCTCTTGGAGAAAAACTTGACCGCGTACACCCCGGGAAATGTCGACCCCGATTAGAAGAAGCTTGGCTGACGCGGGGGCCGATCTTCGCCGACGAAGCAGTATTTGTCCGTTCCGAGGTCTTCGACTTCGATGTCAAGGGCACGGAGGTGGGACGGAAGTGGGGGTCGTGGATGCTGGGATGAGGAAGAGGAAAATAAAGGGTTTTTTTTTTGGAATTTGTTAATTAATAAGGTTGTTTATCTTTTTGTGTGAATGAAAAATAAAATTAATAATAATTTAATGGACTTGATGAAAAGTTAAGATAAAAGAAGTGATTGGAAAAGGAAAACAATAAGAAACAACGTCAATTAATTAGCAACTATTATTAGTTTTTAAAATAATTTGGGAATAAAAAGAAATTTCATTAAAAGAAAAAAGATTTTTGATATTTTAATATTTTTGATGCTGAGAAAAAAACTTTAATAAAAAGAAATGAAAAAGGAAAAACAAAAAAGAAAATTTTTTTGTTTGGGTCAAACTAGTGGGCCCCAATGTTTAGAAAATTAATAAAAAATTAAAGATTTAACGGTCAACAAGTTTGACCCGTTAAGTTTGAAAATTTTTTGTTAAATTGACGAAAATTGATGAGAAAAATATTTTAGGGGACTGTTTTTGCCAATTAAAAATTTTTGATGACTCGATCTTGTTACGCTCAAAAGCTGGGGGACGAAAAGTGCATCCGGTCTTTTTTCAAATGGGAACAAAAAAACACCCAAACGAAGTCGTTTTGAACTCGGGAGATTTCAAAAGCATGAAAGAAAACGACGTCATTTTGAATTTGGGGGAATTTTAAGAAAAAACACACGAAGCGTTGTCGTTTCGGCTTCGGGGGATTTAAAAAAGACACAAAATACGTCGTTTTGGGGTCGGGAGTTTTTAAAAATAAGAGAGAAAAATAAATATTTACTTATGGATTTACGACTATGTCTCTCTATAAGTTGTTGAGGTCATGATGTCCGTCAATTAGATATAGACCGTCGGATGGAGGCCTTTGGACGGTCAGGATTTCACCGAGATGAATATTTTTCCGTAATTTCTCAAGGATTCAGACTTTTATTCAAGTGTAAGTTAAGACTGAACTTTAACTCTCTCTTATAACCTAAGTGTTGGAGGTGCAACTTCACTTGGGCCGACAACCATTCATGGGTCCGATGAATATTCCTTTCTGGCTTATTGGACCGGCTAAAAGCCCTAACAATGGCCCAAGCCCATCATTGAAAGGAATATTCTCTAAGAATATTCCTTTTACCTTATCTATATATACCCCATTTTTGGTGTGAAGAGTAAGCTCATTTTTACTCCCTTCCTAGCTCACATGCTTTATTTCTATCACTCCTTGGACTGACTTGCTCGTCGGAGTGCTAACCCTTGTTTTGCAGGTATCAGGTCCATAGACACTGTTGACCCTTGTCCTTACGGATTTCACCTTCGACAAGTGGCGCCGACTGTGGGGATCGCCAATGTCCTCAATCGAAGGTGAACCTTGAGTCTTGGTGTCTATAGATCTGGACCGAAAAGGGTTTGGAACTAGGAAATTGGTTGTGAATCCGAGTTTGGAGAGTTTTGAGCTAGACTCCATGCCCAAAACCCTATATCTGGTTGCTTGATTTAAAGGGGCAGTGAATTCTTGGAATTGGGGTTTCCGATTCCCAAATTTCTTCAATAAAAGAAAGGATCCTCCCTTCATCCACGGGAATGGATTCACGCACCGAACAAAGAAGAGGAATAGAACCCTCATCCGCGATAGTGCCAACATCAGCAAAATACTCCCGCCGGCGACTGTCCATCTCCTCCCGGCAGATAATCTTCAGGCTAGAATTCACAAATTGGTCCTCAACGAGTCCAAAGCTGGGGACTACATCACCGGAAAACCTGTCCCTCTCAATCGGCGGAGGCATGGGCAGAGAAGGAGGCGAGTTCGCAATGGACGGAGTTAACGCGAGGTTAGCACTAATCTGAAGCGTTCCCCAAAGCAGAAGCCTTGCGTCCTGGGAAAACGTCGCCGTCGTCACTGTTTGTAGCAAAACAGAGGCTGAAGCTTCAGCCCCGAAACACCAGCAACCGTCTTCGGCAACCACCGACCCTGGAACTGAAAGCTTCCTCGGCCAAAAGCTGCGGACGGGGCAAGAAAGCCCTGTACTCGTCATCAGTGGCAGCGGTTTCGTCATCGGCGGCCACCTTCGGTCTGTCATCTTCGTTCTTAATGAAAAAGAAAAGGCGGAGACAACACCGATGGCAGCCTACGGCAACACCGGTGGCAACCGAAAGTTTTGTGCCGAAAGCAACCGAAGACGGTTTCAACCAAGCTTCCGCTGTCGTCCACAAACCGAAGCCACCTTCGACGATGCGTTTCACGTTCGTGCAACTTCGCCGTCGGCGGCTTGCTTCACCCGCGGACATCATCCTCGGCGTCCTTCGGTGTTCGATCTCGGCTTCGGGTTCGATCTCGCCTTCGGCTTCGGCTTCGGCTTCGGCTTCGGCTTCGGCTTCGGCGTCGATCCACCTTCGACGGAAGCATCAACCGCGGAGCAGCTGATGATCTCACCTTCGGCTCGGCTTCGGCGTCGATCCACGTTCGACAAAAGCCACAACCGCGGGTTGAAGAAGACGAAGGGGAGCTGGACGTCGGGCGGGAAAAAGGGCTAGAATTGCAGGAAATTCAAAATTTTTTAATCAGGTCTCTGTTATTTTAGTTATTTACAAATCAACCCTAAAAGTTCAAAAATTTGCAAATTGACCCTAAAAGTTCAGAAATTTTCAAATCGGCCCCAAAAGTTCAAAATTTACAAATTGGCCCCCAAAAGTTCAAAAAATACCAAATCGACCCTAAAGTTTGAAAATGAGACAATCAGACCCCTGACGAATATTTGGAGGTCCATCTGGGAGCTTTACAAGCTAAATGCAAGGATCTTGGGCATCATCTGGAACTCTCCAAGGGTATTGCTAGGCTTTAGACCTATGCAACTACAAAGACAAGTGTTCTTAACCACTTTATCACCAATTGATGGTTTATTTTCTTAAATAATTTTATTTGGGGGGAGGAGTTAGATATGTGGTTATACATATTTCCTCCTTGCTACGTGATTATAAATTCAATCAAATGCTTAAAGCGACATAGCCAATATCAATACATCATTATGGCATGACATATAGAGAATAGAGCTATCATAGTTCATACACTCTTTGTGCTTTCGAATATGGTTCGTACTTGACTATGTGCTATGTGCCCCCTTACCCTCGAAAATATGCGGAAAAGGAAATAAAACTATTTAAGAAAATATATACTTGTTTTTGGGTAGTATATCTATGCTTGGTGGTTTGAAAAGGTGGGTTTTTTTTTGAAAAGTTGGTCCAAAGACGATCCACCCTTCACTTTGAAAAACCATTTTGAAAATTAGATATAATATCCTTTCAAAAGTTTTGAGTTACTGAACGGATGGCGCGTCTTTTATCTTGAACACTCACATTCGTGTCGTAAATAAAGATGTAATCCTTCTCTCGAAACTTTGTTAACAAGTGTAAGGGGTTAGTATATAACATACTCTTAATTGCCTTTGTGTGTACTAAGAACAAAGGAATAACCCCTTTGCAAAATCTGGACGCCATGCAGGCTTCACAAATCCGAGGACGCCTACATGTCCGAGGTTGTCGTCTCAGTCCGTGGATGCCTACATGTCCGAAGATGAAGGCTCATCAATCCGAGGACGAAGGTGCCAGGATGTCAGCAAAGCCCGTCTCGATCCCCGTGGTCGACGGCACCGTGTGGCCTCCGCGGCCTACGGCACTCCTACGGCCTCTACGGTCTTGGAGCTTTTGTAAGCTCGTCTCGATCCCTGTGGTCGACGGCACTGTGTGGCCTTCGCGGCCTATGCACTCCTACGGCCTCCGTGGTCTTGTAGCTTTTATAAGCCCGTCTCGATCCCTGTGGTCGACGGTACTGTACGGCCTCCGCGGCCTACGGCATTCCTACGGCCTCCGCGGTCTTTGAGCTTTTATAAGCCCGTCTCAATCCCCGTGGTCGACGGCACTGTGTGGCCTCCGCGGCCTATGGCACTCCTACGGCCTCCGCGGTCTTGGAGCTTTTATAAGTCCGTCTCGATCCCCGTGGTCGACGGCAGTGTACGGCCTCCGCGGCCTACGGCATTTCGACGGCCTTCGCGGTCTTAGAGCTTTTATAAGCCCGTCTCGATCCCCGTGGTCGACGGCACTGTACGGCCTCTGCGGCCTACGGCATTCCTACGGCCTCTGCGGTCTGGGAGATTTTATAAGCCCGTCTCGATCCCCGTGGTCGACGGCACTGTACGGCCTCCGCGGCCTACGGCATTCCTACTGCTTTTGCGGTCTGGGAGCTTTTATAAGCCCGTCTCGATCCCTGTGGTCGACGGTACTATATGACCTCCGCGGCCTACGGCTCTCCTATAGCCTCCACAGGCCTTGATGCGTTGGAACCTGTATTGCCTTCCAGAAGGCACAAGTTCAAAGGTAGACGCCTTCGACCTCCTGGGCACGAAGGTCCGATCCCGCCACACTTAATCAGGTACATGACATCTTTCTAAGATCTTTTGTGAACGTACCATGTTTCCTTTTTATCTTGAAGATCTAGCATACATGTGAATTATGCCAACTCAAATACTATAATGATATAACCCATCTAGCTCCAAATTCAGCTGATGGGCACTAATTACTCCTTGAAACCGTGTCAGTAAGCTTGTGGGTTCGAAACTCATATGGTCTTGATTTGCCTGAGGGTTAGAAGCTCACGTGGCATTGATCAACCTTCGAGTTAACACTCGTATGGGTTGGACTTGCCTTCGAGTTGAGCACTTACGCGGTGTCGATTAGACTTGGAATTATACGCTTCTACAGTTTAGATCCACCTTTGAGTCAACAATCCCTTGCGGCATCGGCCATTTTCTGAGTTTTATTCCCAATAAGCTTCCGTTCGCTTGTGGGTTACTTACACCCGTAGTCTCGATCAGCCCTAGACTCGGCCTAACTTTGTCCGTGAAATCCTTCTGCTTCCTTCCTAAGCAAGGGGGGAGGGCTCCTAAGGTGGACGATGTCGTAGCCTACCTGGGCAACAAGCATCAAGGCTGGGGGGAGGGGCAAAGAAGTTTAAATAACCCTTTACTTCAAATCCTCTCCAACTCTTTCATGTTATCACCACAAAAATGATAAAGTTTCATGTGCTCACGTTCATTCAATCGAATGGTAACAGAATGAACATTAGAAAACTAACACTGACTCGACTAGTCTTCGGGTTAGAAACTCACACGGCGTCGGTCAACCTTTGAGCTCTATAATCATACGATCCTAACTCGGCTTCGAATTATATGCTCTTACAATTTTGACCACCCTGAGTTAACAACCCTCACGGCCTCAATCAAGCCTCTTTATCTCATACTCTCTCGACTCTGGCTCTATCTTGAGAAAGGTACACACACGTACTTGATCAGCCTAGGGGTCGTACGAACTCTGTATTGGCTAAACACGGCCAAGGGACATTAAACACCTACGTAACTCCAATCAAGTAATTAGCCAACTATACTCAAACACGTGTCTTATCTATGGAAGCAAGCTTATCCCAACAAGTACGCCATCGACCCCGGTGGCCGATGGTGCTCTTGCGCCCCCTGGGCTGCGGAGCTCTCTCAAAATTGTGCCGACCCCGTTGTTGATGGCACCTATTGATCTTTGGGCTTACAACTTCTTTATTACACTGAAAAGTTATACAAGTTTCGTAAGCCCATACACACTAAACACGCTTCTAAAACGTTTCTAAATATAAAAATTGGGGGGAAGGGATGATCACTATCCTCTAAACGTCTAACAAAAGTTTTATATATGTGAAACGATAAATTAGTAGGTGCGTACATAAACAATCAAATGTCATAACAACGTATTCGAGGACGGAGCAAACAAGTGAAAGGAAATAAAAGGTAAGGAAGCAGGGTTGTTTTTTCAAAATAATCCATTCTATTCTATCACTTCCTACGAATACACTTGCCCTGGCCCCTAAAGCCAGACCTACTCCCGATTAGGATGACCCTCGTCCTAACTCATGAAAGAGCTTGGTTGTATCCACCACTCAGCCTCGCATATAGGTGATCCATGGGGCAAGGTTCGGGCCGTTAGGATCGGAAGTCGTATTCCTTACCTCCTTCTACGATAAAATGGGTAGAGTCTGTTAATGCCAACCGCAACGAACCAGTGTATGCCCGAAGCAGCGACATTCTGTCGAAGACTCCATCCCACTTCACGGCAACTGATGCTTAAGTCCGCCGAGGGCGAATCAGAACACTTTCATAGCAGTTAAATGGGATGAAGTCTTCAGAGTTAGGTTCTGCCTATCTAGGCGCCCGTTTTCCGCCTGTTTTCTAAGCACCATATTAAGTCTTCAGCGCCATTGGCACCCCTTTACTTGAGTGACATTCATATTACCAGGCGGTGGCAATACCTTTCATCCTTTCAACTCTCGCCCCCGAGAGAGAAAGCAATTCTTATTAATGTATCATTCGGGTCGAATCATAATCCCCGATGATGCATTGTTGACTTCACGCGAATTTAACGATAGTCTTCGATGGTGCTATTTGGACAACACTTTGTTATGCTCCGTCGCCATCTTTCTTATCAAAGCGTGACTTCTTCTCAAGAGTTTATATATATATATATATATATATATATATATATATATATAATACTCGGCTTCAAAGAGCAATGTCACGCTAATCCTCCTGGCTCAGTCCATTATGACGCAGGTCAATGTGGGAGTCTGTTTATTGACTCGTCTAAAGTTTAGGATAAGACTCCTCCTATTTACCTGCGCTTGTGAATATTTTTCTATCTTCGAAGATGAAAGGGGCAACCTGTTTGTCCCACCTTCTTCGAGTACAAGTGTACACTAATTATTCGTCTCGACAATATCCCTTGGCTTACTACAGGCCGCTGAGATTTATGTCTTCTCGACGACGCCCCTTGTTCTGTCCGATCGCTTACACACTTGTCCAAGGGTACTGGCAGGAGGATTACTCCTCTTCGCTTATCTGTTGATTATCGCGAGTGTCCTTTTCTGAAAACATCATACGGGGGCAACTTCTTAGCTCTAATCACCTCTCCAGACTGTTGAACCTACCTACTGACTATTGACGTTCCGATGATCATGGTACGCTTCTTCACTTATCGTCAGGTTTCACATCTTGCTCACGGAATGTCTGTGACGCCTTTGACCTTTATCAAAGCCATCACTGGTTTTCGTCACTTGACAGCTTAACCAGCGTCAGCTTATTCTAAAGTAAACTTTTGACTCCTTATTGGTCGTCTTCGGCTGATAATAACCTAACTCAGTACGGAGATCCATCATGATCCACTTTTCATTGTCTCTACCTATGTAATCGAAGCTTCAGACCTCTTTTGTGTCCGCAGGGGACCACGAATGCCCTTACTATGTTTTCCGATGTATCAGACAATGTCGGACACCAAACTCATGCTCTTAAGCAATTAGTAAGTTGATGATGATTTCCCTCGGTCTACCCTGGGCCGACACGGGTTGTAATTAACTTACGTTGAGTCCATAGAAACCTTTTGGCCCTCTTTAGACAATCATTATTAGCTTTGGCTACTCGGCTACTTCATTAGCCTTGGTCTATCTCCAGCGAGCTTTTAGCTCCTCGAACAATCATCCTCATCTATTGACATTCAGATAATGTTCTTCCACCGAGTCAGTCTACGCTGTGTCTCGGATTCAGACACAAGGCTGGGTTAACCTCAGGATCGAACTTTTCCTTACATACCCACTATTGACCGATCCCGCAGCAGTTACAAACTTCTTTCTATCATGCCCCAACGATGTCTAACCGTGTTGTTGTTCCAACCTATCACGTGCCGTCACAAGCTTTGACGTCACCTCTTCGAGAAGAATTCTTTGTCACCTTCTTTCTTTCGTGACCTCTTTATTGGATCGGGAATAAAATCCTCAAACGATTTGCGCCCGCACAAGTGACACACACAGTTTCAGCTTATCTCTGGGCATGTTCGGTAACCAAATGTGACGGTTCCCTCGACAATGGTTCGACGTGACAATGTTTTGCACTCCGATTACAGTTACATGTTATTACTCTTCAGCCATCACGAAGGGTTATGGGTTTATCCGATCAGGTGGGCCCTTGAATGGACAGATCCCCGCGAGTCCGCACTACAGCTCCATGTTATTATTTGCCAACTATTGTATTTGAACCCTGTTACTGCATATATGTGCTCCTCTACTAACACTTGGCAGGGGCATTTGGTGGAGGTGCAACTTCACTTGAGCCGACAACCATTCATGGGTCTGATAAATATTCATTTCTGGCTTATTGGGCCGGCTAAAAGCCCTAACAATGGCCCAAGCCCATCATTGAAAGGAATATTCTTAGAGAATATTCCTTTTACCTTATCTATATATACCCCATTTTTTGTGGTGAAGAGTAAGCTCATTTTCACTCCCTTCCTAGCTCACATGCTTTATTTCTATCACTCCTTGGACTGACTTGCTCGTCGGATGCTAACCCTTGTTTTGCAGGTCTCAGGTCCATAGACACTGTTGACCCTCGTCCTAATAGATTTCGCCTTCGACACTAAGCAAAGAGAGTAACATGGACTACTTAACCCGCAATTCCGATGCACTCATGATACACTTATCAAATTCTTTTGTTCTCCATACGTGTGTTATTTTTATTTTTATTTTTTATTTTTGAAAGAATACGAGCATTATGAATATTAGCCTTCTCAATATACCGGTTAGATTCCCCTAACTAGTAGAAATGAGATTTTCTACTAATAGGAAAGAATTTAAAAACCGTCTAAGGCCAAAGAGAAAAATAATAAGAAGAAAAAGGAAAGAGAAGGAGAAGAAGTAGAAGAAACATATTATGTCCGTCTTCTCTTTTACTATACGTTTGTTCACCTTGAATATTTTATTAATAATTTAACTAACTGAGAAATCATAGGCAAAACAGAACAACCATGAAAATATGAACTAAGTACTCTCTCTAGTCCTTAATATAGGGATTTTTATTTGTCATAGATTGCACCTAATATGTATTTTTAATCAGAAAAAAAAACTTAAAAATATATTTTCACATTATTTGTATTTTCTTCATTGTTAGAAAATATTTTTAAAGTTTTTTTTGTCAATTGAAAATGCGTAGTAAGTGAATACTAGTTCGGAGAGAGTACTAATTAATATCAGCGACATAGCATCTAAAATCTAAAGTTATTAAGATCACAAATATTAATTATATTCCAACTTTGAGGCATTAATTTCCAATAAAAGCAACTTTTCGATCAGAATATAGGTGCATACATAAACACATTGGACGTACGAAACTCATATGGAAGTAATGACATTTCGTTAAGCATGTATATACAGAAGAAAATAGAAATGGCTCAAATGAGCTTTCAATCTCCTTTGCTACTACTTATTAGCATGATGATGGTCGTAGAAGTCCTTGCGGAAATAGCACCTTCTCCCTGCGATCCCGGTCCATCAGAAATTCCCGCAATATGTGACAAAATAGTTCTAACGGACCTTAATTTCATCCACGCCGTTGAATCAGCTGTTCGGGATTTGGACATGAACCTCACGTTCATGGCTCTGATTCAGGGCGAAATAGGTTATGGGGAGGGTCAGTCGTACACTCTACTTATTCAGGTTCGCAACGGAACTGGTGGTGTTGGGTATTATGAGGTTAAATTCTATGATTACATCGAAGAAATCCAAGAGTTGGCTCGTCCTTCGGATTTTTTGTCACCATGTGCGTTCAAGTACTGCTAGTGAGGGGTAAAAACAAAAGAAGAAAGAATGAAAACCCCGATTTTTTAGGCTTTTATAGATACTCCCTCCGTCACGAAATTATTATCCAATTTGGATTGTATTTTTAGTACAAATTGAACTAAAATTAAAAATTTCAAACTAGACAACAATTTTAGGACAGATGAAACTTTTCCTGTTTGTTGAAACGATAATAACATAACAAAATTGAAATTCGTAGGCATTGCAAGTTTGCAACTTGAACTTCCTGTACCAAGAAATTAATAAGAAAGTGTTCCTTTACTTATACTGTTCCATGATTTTTGTAAAATAAAGAATCATCTAACGTGCTGTAAATTAATGAAACAAGAAAATGGTCAATCTAACTTTTACGATTCGAACCTCAGCTAGTAATTGAATAATGAATAGTACATTCTATTATTCTTCCTTTGGCTCTCTGTCACAACTACCCTAGTCTGTTTACAAGAGAATAAAGAAAATGTTGGCAATTCCAACTTCTCAAAGGTTTGTGAAAGCTCATAAGTGCAGAAAATGCTAAAAGAAATCTAAACACCAGTTTTCGTATATGTAGAATCATAGGGGTGTGATTGTAATTAGGAATATAGTTGACTAAAATAAGTGTAGTTTGACTCTTAGTATAGGGACTATGTTAGTAAATACGAGATGTATATAAACAAAAAAATTGTATTCTTTCATATAGAAAATAATCAGATTGAATATATGGGATATTTTTCCCGCTTTCTCTCAAGAACCCTAGTTTATCCTCTTTTATCGATTACTATGATTTCTTCAATTTCTTTGATTCTAGATGTTCATGCTCTTTAACTCTTGTTTGTCGACTCAACCGACAAGTACAACCTCCACACTCACATTCATCAAGTGGATCTATAACTGCTAACTCTTCCCACAATCGCTTTAGTTTAGCCTAGTAACCAGCCAAATTCAAATTACCCTGCCTAAAGGTACAAATTTCTCTACGCAGATTGTAAATCTGTGGCCCGTTCCTAGTACCATACCCATCCTTAGGTTCCTCGCAAAGTTCATGACCATCATCAGCTAAGTTGTCAATATGACTTATGCTGAACTAAGGTAGCTGAAAATAATGCAATGATTGCACAGAAGGGGCTTGCATACAACAGTGCTTCTACTAGATCAAGGAATATTGGTGGAAATCAAAATACAGGATATGGAGGAATAAATAACTTAGGATCCTTCAATCAGACAAGCTTTCCAGGAAAGTTCATTAACAATGGAGGGGGGGACAACCTAATGGCACAGGAAAGGGAAATGGACTGAGGTCAACAGCAAAGAGATTGCTCAAATGTGAATACTGCAAGAACAATGGTCATATACTGGATAACAGTTTCAAACTGAAAGGATACCCAGATTGGTGGCTGGGAATTAAGGGAAATAATAGTAAAGATCACAGAAACTCAGGGGGTCAAAATGCAGCTCATATGGTTGATACTTCTTTTGATGATGAAGCTGGTGCCAACAGTGGTGATTTACTGACAGTCATCAACAATATGCAAGATCTGCAACAAAAGGTGAACAAGTTGCTCAAAGGAAAGGTACCTGCAAATGAAGAGGAGCGCGTCAACTTCGCGCACTTTTCAGATTTCGCAAGTATGAGTACTTTTCAAAAGTTAAAGTCATTTGATAAGTTGAATACTGTTAGTAAGTTAGTTGTTATTCTGTGGATACTAGATAGTGGAGCAATGAGTCATATGAGTTCTAAACTTAGTACTTTCTCAGCCTATAGGAAAGTAAACTGTTTAACACCAGTGTGTTTGCCTGAGGATAGTGTTAAGATAGTTGACCATGTAGGTAGCATACCTTTATCATAAACACTCAGCCTTCCTGATGCCTTGCACATTCCTTCTTTCAATTACAATCTTATCTCCGTAAACAAACTAGCAACAACCTCTAAAATCGATTGCCTTCTTTCTTCCACTTTCTGTCTACTGCAGGACCAAGTGACTAACCAACTGGTTGCAGTTGGGAAGGTCCTTAATCACCTCTACGTTCTAGATCAACACTCCTTTGCTCAAGAAACCATCATGCAGTTCACCTCAACATACGTGGATCATCCTTTTTTGATGCAGCCTAATTCAAACAAGCTATATTTAGTTGCTAGTTTAAATAGTTCAGTTTGGCACATAAGGTTAGGACATCCTGCTGATACTGTTCTTAATTAGATGGATTTTGTCTAGTACCTGTAATAAGGATAAAGATATCAAACCTTGTGATATTTGTCCTCTGTCTAAACAAAGCAGAGTGGTTTTTCCTACTAGTTCTATTTAACCTGATTCAGCTTTTACTCTTATACATGTCGATATTTGGGGCCCTTACCATACTAAATCACTAAATGGAGCTCATTATTTTTTAACCATAGTGGATAATTACAGTAGATCCACATGGACATTTCTTCTACAACATAAAACACAAACCCTTGATCTTCTACAACACTTTTTCCGCCTTATTCATACCCAATTTTCCACACATATCAAATGCATTCGCACCGACAATGGTAGTGAGTTTCTTATCCATGGGTGTCAACCTTTTTCAGTAATTCGGTGCTAATTCATCAAAAATCCTGCGTATACACTCCACAGAAAAACGGCGTTGTGTAACGTAAACATAGGCATTTACTTCAGGTAACTCATTCATTACTATTCCAATTTGGTTTACAAAAAACCTTCTGGGGTAAATGTATTCTCACGGCCACTCACATAATCAATAGACTTCCCAGTCCACTCTTAGGGCATAAAAGTCCTTATGAAATCCCGTATAGCAAAAGTCCTGATGTTTCTTATTTTCGGACATTTGGTTGTTTGTTTTATGCTTCAAAGACTTCTCCTCATAAAGACACATTCGCTCCTAGAGTATATAAAGCCATCTTTCATTTGGATACCCATCGGGTCAGAAGGGTTATAAGGTGTTAGATCTCACCAGTAAAAAAACATTCGTGTCACGAGATGTCGTGTTTCATGAATCTGTATTTCCTTACAAGGATTCCAATTTGAGTCCTAACACATGAATCCTCTAAATTATCTACTCATGTGTTCGATGAAGATTGGATTCAACAAACTTCATCAGTTTCTTCATCTATTCCTGATCATCCAAATATCTCCGTACCTAATGAGTCTCCTACTGTTGATAACTACATTTCGATGTCTAATGATCTTCATGTTAATACTGACACTGCTACTCTTCGACGTAGCACTAGGATTTCTACCACTCCAAATTGGATGAATGACTATGTTCCTTATATGTATTCAAGGAAGTAAGGTTGAAGAACAACATCTCAGTCACTGCTTCAGTCCCCTGAGTGAACCCTGTCACTCCCAGGAGTGACCTCTGTAACTGCATAAGCTGTCTTCTTCTCTTAAACTAAGTTGTATTTTATTTCATTGATGCACACTTCTATGATCAGTGTTGTAGCAGTAGTAGTAGCATCAACCAGTATGAGTAGCTAAACAGCTTCCAGGGGTTAATCTCCTCGACTTATGTTGTAGTTGTTGTAATGCATTGGTTCTGTTCTATGTTTTGAAGTTGAAAGTATTTCTACATTCAGTTACTTGATCCCTAATTGAATGCATGTTAGAACTAGGGGAAATGTGAAAGGATAAACTTGGTTTGGTCTATTTCAACTTCAACTTGTGACATAGAGGTAAAAATCTATGGTTTTAACTAAGATAGGAATATACTTAGTTAACATGAGCATTCATATAAGCCGTAGCTCTTAATGACTTTATAACTGGACTCAATCATTGAAAAATAGATTGTTAAAGTTACAAAGATGACTCTAGGAAAAATGGGAACTGACTTAGAGTTAAATCTGAGCTGAATGAACAAGAACTTAACCATCAAAGTGCAATTTATAACCTCTGCAACAGGAAGAGGAGATGAACTCACCTGGTCTATACTCCCCTGAGTGAACATTTTCATTCCCCTGAGTGACACTTGTTTGAACTGGTAGTTTTGTCAACAACAAATTAGGAGAATAGTTGTCCCTGTGAGAACGACCTAGCTTCCATTATCTACAAAACCATAATCCAGCTAGCAATTATTTTTGGTGAACTCGGCACCCACCAGAAAGTGGTGCCATTTTTCGGGGACGGCGTAAAACCTCCATTTTCTTTGTTTGTTGTTATTCCCTTAGTAGTAATTAATCTTTCTCTGATAATTCACCTGAGCTTCTAATTTCTCTTCTTTGGTGTATGACTAGAAGGCACCAATGAAGTGAACCAATTTTTGATCCAGAAATCGAAGCTACCATATGCAGAGCCAGAGCAGCAAAAAGAAGGTAAGATCGGTTTTAACAGAACCGCCAAGAAGGTTCATCAGAAATGGCTAACCAAGGTGGTAACCCAGAGAATAATAGGAACCCTGGTAGGGGTCAACAAAATCAACCTGAGAGATTGCTCAGAGATTTCTTCATTCCACAACAAGAAGAAGTCCAATCTCCATTAGTGTTCCCCGATGTGGAGGCAACCAATTTTGAGTTAAAACCACAGATGATCCAATGGACTCAGTCAGCTTGCCCATTTCATGGATTACCTCATGAAGATCCTAATGATCATATCAGAAGTTTCTTGCATTTATGCAGTACTTTTAATATTCAAGGCTTATCCAATGATGACATTAGATTGAGGTTATTTCCTTTTACTTTGCAGGATCACGCCCAAGCATGGTTCAACACATTGCCCAACAATTCTATCTCCACTTGGGAAGAGTTAAGACAATGTTTCCTTACAAAGTTCTTTCCACCAGCAAAAGCTACACAACTCAGGACTGCAATAATAAATTTCAAGCAACATGAAACTGAAACACTCTATGAAGCATGGGAAAGATTAAAGAAAATGATCAGGAAATGCCCTCAGCATGGTTTGGAAGAGCATCTCCGACTAAGCATCTTCTACAATGGTTTCCTACCAACCATAAGAGACTCCCTTGATGCTGCAGCTGGTGGTGTGTTTATGATGAAGCTGGTTGATGCA